AACTTTGCTTTAACACTTGTTCAAACAACACCACGAGAGAAGAATTTCAGTTTGTAGACTTTTTCATTTTTAAATATGAAAAAGATAAATAAAATAAGAATAAAAGAAAGTTAACTGATGAAATGAGTGCATCAGAAGAGAATGTACACAACACAAACAATAACAGAATAAATATACAAATAAAACCCCAACAGTAGCACCTTCACACTGTCTAATTACAATTTATACYAGAACAGTACATAAAACAAGAGTGAATATACACACAGATCTTTTAGAAAAAGTCAGATTAAATCCTTGGTTAAGCTCTAAAACAGTTATACAAACAAGAAGAATACATAAAAAAAAGTTTTAACCACTGACATGAATTTAAGTAAAATCCAATAATTCTTTTTTTTTCATTTGTGCAGCTTGTTTTGAGCAGAAATATCAAACTGACAGTTTAACACTAAAAACAGGGAAATAATCCTATTTAGCAATACATATTGTAATACTGACCACAGGTCATACACTGAATCATAACTTTATGATCATAGGCTTACAGTTACAGGTAATAAACAAGTTCCMGAGAAAATAAATCCTCCAAAACTCAGTTTCTATATCCATCACAGAGAAATGAATCATCACAACCCCTGCCAAGTAAAATTTCCCCCCTCACCACAACCTTCACCGCTGACAGAGGCAGGAAGACCCGGTGTTGCACAACAGCGACAGCCACAACTCGAAGGGACTTTGTTCTTTACGTTTGACTGTGCTAAATTTTTTTACAACGCTGTAATGACAGTTTCATAGAAGTCYTGTCATGAGATCAGAGCAGAAGCAAGGATGTCAGAAGGTAAAAAAAAAAAAAAATCAACGGGTTGACAAATCCACGTGAAATGAACCAGCATTTCCTTGGCTCTGAACCGAATCGTAAAAATGGGAACAACAAAATGGAGAAGTGAAACTGTTTGTGCTGGGATCCTGCCACACACACAGCTCCACCGCCTTGTTTCAGTCGAGCTCACTCAGCTCCATGTGCATGCGGTTGTTGTCTCCGATGATGACGTAGTTGAGGCGCGAGCCGTGGATGCTGATGTTTAGACGCTGTCCGTGAGGGTGGGGAAGCGCCGGAGGCGGGGTCTCTGTGGTCCCCTGCTGACCYTAGCAGCAGCTGCACCTCGGCTGACCTGCGACACGTGGACGGGTTTAGATGGCTGTGAAGAGAAATGGCTGCGAGGTGCGGCGTGGAGCTGTGACTCACCGGGCTTCTGGAGCTGAGGCTCCTGCATCAGAGGGCACCGTTCAGGCGGCGCGCATGGGAAGCTGTCCCCGATGACGCAGTCCGTGAGGGTGGAGTTGTTGATGTTGACAATAAAAACGGTTGACGGCGAGTGTTGGAGGAGCTCTGTCAGTGAAATGTTGAAGTAAAATGAGGATGAGAGTCTAAATATAGGAAGTTGTTTTTTCCCCCAGAGTGACGTAGAGTTCTAACAGAAATTCCAGATGAATAAAAATGTAGGTTACCTTTTGTACTRTGCTCCCTGGGTTGAGGTGTCTGAACTGTAAAAGCAACAGAAAATATATTTTTTTAATGATGTTAAACGGCTGTTTGTCATCCACTCTCTATCCTGAAACAATAAGATTAATGGAGGGAAAGTAAAACTGTATTTAACTCAGTTTCTAAAAATATGGCCGAGCCAAATTGTTACCATAAGCGGTTTATTTACCTGGACAGCTCTCGGCCTTCTCYTGAAAAGGGATGCAGAAAGCTTTGCAGCTTCTCTGAGCCACCGTTTGTATCAGCTGGATGAATTTCTGCACACTGTAGGCTTTAAGAGTCATCACCTGGAGCAGKAATAATAAGTATTTATTCTGATTGTTCTTATCTCTCAACACAGAAAGGTGCACTGAGTTCTTCCTTTCACTACATAATAGRGTATGGTAAAGCATTAGTGCACTTATTTAACATCCCTGATATTAGGCACCATTTTCCCAACAAATGGTGCCTAACAAATGGGAAAATTARGCCTGATAGGGATGCTGAATAAATACACAAATGGCTTGCCACAGAGGGTCTACAAAACATACTGTGGCAAGCTATTTGTACATTTCTTTATGCACTTTTTTTTCCAAAACAAATGATGCCTAACAAATGGGAAAATGGTGCCTTACATCAAGGATATTTAATAAATACACAAATGGCTTGCCA